AAAACTGATTTTACTAATCTCATTAGTACTGTACAAAATTAGAGGGCCACGACTTGACAGACTCCCTCATTCCCTCTAACTTGGGATTCCAGTGGGGTGACCCAAGGTCAACCCAGCCCCTCCCCCTCCCCATCTCATACTTCTGAGTCAAGTAAAGTAAGGGGCAGCCTGCCTAACTCACACACTAGAAGGGCGCCACTCCGACAAGGTTAATTCACCCACACGATCATTGACCTTACACGCAAATCAGTGATAGAATGATTGAGCAAATGTCACAACCCCCCCCCAGCAAGATGCCACCCTAGGCAGCTGCCAATGTTGCCCATACCTAATTCCAATAGTGCACCCCTCCTGGCCGGCAACATAATACATAAGGAATAGCAGGACTGCGCAGCTGGAAAGGTTGTGAAATCTTGGTCTAATGGACTGCGAGGAAAAAAATGAAAGATTCTGCTGCAATCGTTCACAGTTTGCTGTGGGCTGGCAAAAGAATGGAGATAGTAACACTATATATTCATACAAACCAGTTATCAAGTAGAGCTGAGTAAAGTCGTAACAGTACATCTGGGTGTTTTATTGTTTAATAGCAGTTCAGTGACCATTTCTTCACACCTGTGTGGTGCCCAAATCTGCATTTCATTCCAGGTCCCAACGTTTATCCCGCCTTCACTTTGTGTGAAGATGCTTACAAAAACAGCATCTCACTCCACTCTGTGATAATATACTGACCCGTGGAAGGACAAAAACAGATTCTTTTGACCTAGTAGTGTCCCATTTTGAAGCAAATTGCCCATGTCCAGCTTGCAGCTGGACTCTGTTACCTTCACTCCCATTATACTTGTTACTAAACTGTGTATTGCCTCTCAATATGTGGTCATACAGTACGTCTTTAATGTTAATTATCTGGTGTAAAATCTAAATAAACAGACACTCTTTTTAATCATGCATCTTCAGTGTTCTGCAGCTGGGATGCTCTGACTCTCTCAAAAGACACAACACAGTCAGATAAAAGAGCTTTAAAATGCTTTAAATATGGCCCCTCCCCCCCAATGACCCAGTACTGGATAAGCAGTTGAAAGATGGACAGATGGGAGATGAGTTTCTTGAGCATTAAGACTTCCTATTCCTTGGTTTGACTATAAAAAACAACAGCTTAGATAAACTGAAAAAATCTTCACAAATCTACCAATTCTCTAGTTTCCCCCAAGACACATGGTGATGTTTGAAAGTATGTGAATGTGGCTGTGACATAGCAATTACCCCCCCCCACCCCACCACCACCACCATTAATACAGCCCCCCTCATTTCCTGCTGGAATACAATCTGCTCCGTTACTGGCTAATGGTAACACAGAATATAAAACAGTGTAATGTAGCACATTAAAATCCTGCTGTTTTGTCGACTTGTTTGCACTACTAGTGGCACAAACGTCCCCCCCCAACCCCTTCACAAACATAACCGTGGCTGCCCAAAAGACATTTCCAGAACAGGAACCCAAAACTATAGAAAAAGGAAGAAATAAAAGAAAGAAAGCAATGCCAAGACCACTTCACCCTCCTGAATTTAGATCAGCTGCTGAAATGCAATTCATACGATTGCCTATTTTACACAGCTAAATATTTACAGATACTATCAGGATGAAGAAGGTTGATCAAGGACTGAACAAAGGCCATTGCTATCCTACTTGAACCGAAAATTGATGAAGTTCCTGCTCATGCCTTTCACAGAATTACACTCACGATTCAAATTCATTACAAAAAGGGATTAGGCAAGAAAATCACACACAGCTTAACATTTAAAGAACAGGTGCTGATGTGACCTTGTCCCCCCCTCCCCCCCCAAAAAAAAATATCCACGACCCTCCTGCGGTGTTATTAAGCTACTGGGAATGGGTTCATAGGGTAGTTCTACAGAACGTGGCTCGAAATAGTATTGATCAGGTTGACAGTGCATAGAAATAAAAGACATTTCAAAAAGTTCTTAATATGAGTAGCTACACTTACCGAGTACCAGCCTGCGGTGAATCTGGAGCTCATCCAAAGCAGCACATGGTGAACTCATAACAGTATTGCTTTTGAATCTTTTAAACCAGGCATGGGCAATTATTTTTCACGGAGGGCCAAATCTTCACCATAAAAGCTATGAAAAAAAAAATGAAATTTTTCGGAGAGGCCATTTTAGCGTGTCATTAAGGAGGTAGCAACTGTATTAGCCATTATTCATGGGTCTTGAACATAAAAGATGTTTTATTTTTTTCATATTAATGATGGTATGGACCAGTATAAATAGCTCTATGGATATGGCCTGTAGCTGGCTTTCAGCTGAAAGACAGGGATAATATGCATCTCCTGTTTCAAACAGCAAATCTGTCACTCAGTGTTTCCCTGCCTTTTACGCACACCATGATGTGCACACCATCAAATACCTGCACATCACCTATGTTCTGAAATCCACATCACTGGTGTGTCACAGTATCACAGCAAAAACGTGGCCGGCGGTACATTCAGGGGGAACGTCAGCCTTAATTTAACTGTTTGACCACTAAGCACCATCCACTCCAGCATCCTCCATTAACAAATGGATTTAGGAGGATTTCAAGGAGAAGTTTACCCAGGACTCTGCTGGCAGCTTACGTTTTGGCAAATAAGAAAGCGCAATGGATTATGGGTAATTTAGAAGTAACAATTGCTGGAGATGCAAGAGGGTTAAAACCACTTCTTTCCAGCTGCTCCGTCAAGGTATTAATGGTCCTCCCTGGGGCTGATAGTAATTGCCCTTAAAGTACACTGATCTAGTAGTTTAGAGGACACCAGGGTTGAGCTCTCACTCTGCAGATGAATGTACTGATTAGATGTCAATCAAAAGTGAGTACATCACCTGGGAAATAAACGTCAAGGATCCCACAGCCTCCTTTGCTTGCAAATTGCTGTGCATATTTCCGGAATTCTGACTTACCTATAACATGTTTCAAGAAACCCTTAACTGCAGAAAAAAATTGACAATTTTATTGGACAATTGCTGCAGGTGGTACCTTAGGGAAGCCCTAAACCGCATTTGATGATTTTTTTTTCGGAGACAATAAGTCGTTATTTCGACATAATAAGTCGTTGTAACGAGATATTATCTCGTTATTTCGACATAATAAGTCGTTATAACGAGATAGTAAGTCGTTATTTCGACATAAGTCGTTATAACGAGATATTATCTCGTTATTTCGACATAATAAGTCATTATAACGAGATAGTAAGTAGTTATTTCGACATAAGTCGTTATAACGAGATATTATCTCGTTATTTCGACATAATAAGTCATTATAACGAGATAGCAAGTCGTTATTTCGACATAATGATATGTATAAATTATAATACATTTATAGTCTGCCATGTGCTGTCAGCATCAAGCGCATATATCCAGTGACCGTGCTTTTTGCTCAAGAAGTCGCGATCATAGCGCGTTGGAAAGAGTTTAATCATGGAACTATGGATTCTTTTTGTAATTTTCTACAGTAAACCACTTAATAATAGTCTAAAATAGTCTTAAGTAGTTGGTAGCCTAGTGGTTAAGGGATTCGCACCTTGATCGGAAGATCGTGATTTTGAATCCCACTGAAGTACCCTTGAGCAAGGTACCATCCCCACACACTGCGCCCCGGGCGCTGTATTGATAGCTGCCCACTGCTTCGCTTGGTGGGTCAAATGCAGAGTGTTGTGAACTGGTGTGTTTCACATATAACAAATAATCACTTTCACTTCACTACATGTTCATGTTTCTACAACTTTGTTTAGGTAACTTTTTATGGCTTTGCTGTAGCCTACGTTGAAATGTATACTAGTGTCTACCTTTTTTTATCGTGGATTAAATAAGATCTACTGGTATGGATTTCATCACTCAGGATTCAACGATTTTTTTGGGGGTCAAGTCAGATTTTGGTTGTTCATCAGTTCATTATGTGGGTGGGGCAGTACAGTTACGGTATTTCCTAATGGGTCGGCTGAGTGCGTACTGTACAGTATGTTCGAAAACCATGACATGCAGGGTTTATTCGTCGCGGTTAAGGCTGTTCATGTTCTTACCACTGAATCACTCTGTCTGTGCACTGTAAACAGCAGCCCGATAATTAGACATACTGTACGGGTCAAACTGCACCAACGTAATAACGTGCAACGTAATTCTGTCCTGGCTCATCGATCAATATGTTATTCTGATTTTCAGTTCGGATGTAGATGAATTACCCAGGCAATGTTTTAGAAACGAATTAGTGGAATATAAAATGTTATGAAATGCTACACACAATATAAGTTTATAGGCGATTTATGACAAACGATAAGAACGACATGGAGCATATTAATACATAAAGTTAACATCAGTAAGGGTTAACTTGGAATGAAAGCACAAACTATGTAAAATTCCCAGAAATACATGGGTCGTTAGTGTACCAAGTAAACTACTGATGTTAGTGCATCAGCATGACTTAATGCATTCTTTAATATTGGTGCAAAGCTGAACATGAGTTATGTCGAAATAACGACTTATTATGTCGAAATAACTACTTACTATCTCGTTATAACGACTTATTATGTCGAAATAACGACTTATTGTCTCCGAAAAAAAAAATCATCAAATGTGGTTCAGGCCGGGCTTCCGTAGTACCTAAAAGCAAATAAAGGGAAGAATTACAAGCGTGTGTTTGATATTCTAATTAAAATGTTTTCTAATACATTTTAAATCACTTAGATTCTAATTTTTTGACTGATATGCCATTGGATAATGTTTAACCTCAGTGGCGGTTGGCCCATAACATAATGGGCGCTCGGGCGCCGCCCTCCCAGATGTGGGGGGGAATATAAAATATATAAAAATAAAAAAATATTTATATATTTTTTTATCAGTGTCAGTTTTACTTAATAGTGTGTGCCTACATGCAATCTGAATTATTTAAATAACATTTCCAACGACTGACTTTCATTCAACAGTGAAGTTCCACCGACAGATTTCCACCAATCATTTCTCTTCTTGGGCGCTCATCAAAGCGCCCCAGAAGTGCAGCGAAATAGCCAATCGTGTATGGTTGCTAGGCGAAAATAATAAAAATTTGGCCTATTAGCATCGCCAAATTAAATGGTTTTGGGGCGCTGGAAATTTCGCCCCTGCTACAGAAAAGAAGGGAAAGCTTTGGATTGCTCTCAGGTCAGTCAGTCAGAGAGAGATGATGGCGACGATGACAGTTGAGGGGCAGCTTCCACCAAATTCGGTGAGATCGTTATTGAATCACCCTTTTGCGAGAAGGATGATGGTGGAAAAAAATCCACGTTAAGGAGCTGGCACCCGACAAGCCCGAAATAACTGTAGCTGTACATTGTTAATTTACTTTATCTGTGAAACTACTGATTTTGAGAAGGAAATTAAATTATGATTGTGAAATTGTTGTCATTTTCTGACTGTTCATTTGAATGCTTATACTGGACTAGGAAGGGAAATCTATTGGTCCGTCAGTCCCACCAAGAAGTTTTTTCCAACAGCCGCCACTGTTTAACCTACTAAATATGCACCTGTATTATAACTGGATTGTGACCCACAAAGTTTTTTTTTTTTTTTTCAGTTTTTGTTCCTGAAGCAAAAGTGGAGACGTCAGAGCCAACAAAGAAAAATCATGGAGTTCTCAGGAAATGGAGAACATCCTCAGGTGTACCACCTTAGGGTCACCTTTCCACATACAGTCACAACCACAGGGAGCAGGCAGAGGGACTGACAGCCTCCCATCTTCATCAGTCTAGTCGCAGTTTGATTCCAGTTTGATTTGTAATTGTAATTCGTGACTTTGATTGGCAGTATTACCACACACCCCCCCACGGGAAAGATGCTTCCCCCACAACTGTGCCCCACCTACAGAGCCAGCCTGATGAGGCTGACAACCGTCAAAGATCTGAGGAACGTCTGGGGTCCTGCTGATTCCAGAGCTGCTTTTTAGGGGAGCATTGAGCTTCTTCAAGAGCTGTGAGAGATCAAAGCTGGAAAGGCCTCCACAGCCCTATGCTGGAGATTAGCCCGCAGATGCAGAACACGGGCCAGAGTGCCTGGTGGTGTGGAAATCACGCCACAGAACATACCGACGAACTAAGGCCACATCCAGCCCCTCCAAACCACAGCTAACTTCAGGGAGAAATGCAGGAGACACTCAGCCAGGTAAACATTGGTGTGTATCTCTCTTAGGATGGTTATAACTCAGGAATAGACACTCTAATCTGCTCAGCCACACTGACAGACCCGTATTCACAGCTCACCCTCGTTATCTGTCCATCACGCACTCATTCTGAGCCAGGCGGCCGGGTTTCAGGTGCATTTAAAGTGCAACAGGGCTACAGCTTCTGCACGTCCCATACTGGGCCTAAACCAGCACAAATCCATATCTTTATATCACAATGCATACAGAAATGATACATGGGGCTGAATTAAATTGTGACAAGTAACACATGCCATTAGTTACTCAGACCAATTATGTACAGTATGTGCTAACAAGATAGTAACTACTAAAACATACAGGTACCTCAGTCAAAAATAAAATGAAATACTTCCCCAAAGAGGAAGACATAACTGCACTTTGGGATTCTCGTTCATGGCACCCATCAGTCCAAGAGGAGGACACGAGCAACTCGGTAGTAGTAATGGGCCGATTTACCCGGTAATCCTCTGCACAGCTGAGATCACGGCACGACGCCAGCACAGCTGCCTAATGCAGACACGGGCTAGAATTTTTATTATGTGTACTACAAAAATAAAGATCTTACTTCAGTTTCACAAGTTTCATAAGACCTGTATTTGTTACACGTCAAAAGAGTTTACTTCACAAAACACAAGAAACTCCATCAAAGGCTAATCTTTCCAGTCAGAAGCAATCAGTAGGCGAGGGACATACTTAGAGTGTTTTAGAACTACTGCAGACAGAATGCAGTTTCAGTGCCTTTCTGTTTTGACAGCATTTTTGTTTTTGATGCTTCAAAAATCTGTCAAATCAGTTTGGACTAAAAATAATGTCATGCTTCATAGTAGCCTTGTTGGTTTGTTTGTTTTTTAAAATTTTAATGGAATTCTGGAACAAGTGCTGCAATCACTACAGAAATGGGTATAATTTCACGAGGGGTCTATAATTATAGCTTTTACGATGTGTGTGAAAGCCAACCACAGCTTATGCAAAGCAGGAAAATTTCCTGCCTAATAAAGGTCTGGCTTTGAAAAGTGAAACTGGCTGCATGCAGAGTAAAAGCATCCATTTGGAAAAAAAAAACAAATTAATGCATTTCTGCTTTTAGGAGTGGGAGGCAAAAAAGTTCTTAGTCAGTTGGAGGCAGACATATACTGTAGGGTCGTCCATCAGAAGGTCATTTCAGCAAAGGGAATATGGGTGTGATTCTTTGGCTGCCAAGGTGTTGGCTCTGTGACATACATGCTCAGATTCTTACCATTAATGTTTCTGATAATAATCACTGAAAAGGCACATTTACTTTCAGACATCCACTGGTGCCCTCACAAGCTAAGGAAATACTGCAATAATCAGAATTGCGAGTGAGCTTAGCACCAAAGAGATGCATTTTAATGAATTCAGTCCTTTAAAAAGGAGTTAGTATCCATCCATCCGTCCGTCCATACGTTTCTCATAACTATTTACCCAGTCCAGGTCACCAGTGAGAATTCAGCTTATGAAGGGAGCTCGTAACATGAGACAGGTGCATGTGAATGGGATGCATGTTCATCACAGGATGGACGGACACACACACACAATCATAAACAACTATATAGGTTTAAATGCACCATGCATCACTTTCATACCTTGACAGCACCCATGTTTGAACCCTGAAAAAAAAAAATCCTCAGTGCTGAATATGAGAAAATCCTACAAAGGCCAGTATTATATAGAGTGCTATGTGATGGCCAATAGCCCTAAAACCAAACTGTTTTGCTGACCCTCAGGGGCACCAAATGAGCAGCCAACAGGATCCAGCGGACAGAACAGCTGCCAAACAGACACAGAACCACGCTTATAGAGATGCTGCCTGGCACTCCCACTGATGGGGGCACAGAGACTGCAGAAAGGGAGGTGGGATGTTTTTGCAGGGGGTGGGGGGGTAAATCTTCCCCAGGGGGGTCATACAATCATTCTGTTACCCCTGTATGATGAAAGGTTTTTAGAAAATGAAACAAAACAGATGCATTGCTAGACCTGTGTTCCTTGATAAGACTTCACAAGCATTATGGGTAAACGCATGTTAGGCATATTGTTCAAGGTAACGACTAAGACAGAGGTGGCCAATCTTATTCACAATAGGCTGTGTATGCAGGTTTTTGGGATAACTTTTAGGTCAGCTGTTCAAACCCAGGTGTAAGGACTCTTCAGCCAATCTGTCCTCTAATTAGTAATCTAATTAGGGAGTTGCAGCGAAAACCCGCACACACAGCGGCCCTTTGCGGATAAGACTGCCCACCCTTGGTCTAAGCATTTGTGGGCGACACACAGCACAGGGGGGTGACGCTATTGGCTGGGTTGTTCCCCAACACATCAGAATCAGAATCAGGTTTATTGGCCAAGTGCGTGTGTGGCACACACAAGGAATTTGTTTCTGGCAGTTGGTGTCTCTCCGGTACATTACAATACATGCACCTAGACCCTGCACATGCACCTAGACCCTGCACATGCACCTAGACCTGCAACCCACTGTATCCCCATTTTGGTTTCCTAGGTGCTTCCCTTTGTGCCAAAACAAGCACCCCCCTCCCCACAGTGTTTGCCAAATGAATCAATACTCTGGTCCCCATTCCTTCCTCACGCCCCCATGTCACATGGTTCTCTTCCCAGCCCCACCCTGAGAGAGTATTACAGATACCTACGTCAAAGACATGTCTTATTCTCTGTAAAGTCCTGATAACCTGATAGAGTGGCCCAAATACCAGAGGAGCGACTGGGAACATGCAGCCCTGCACTGTGGTGATGTTTGCGGTAAAGGCAGTGGAGCATCACCCTATTGTGAGAGCAACCAGAGCTCAGCCAAGCTGCCCCAGTTCCTTAGGTGGCTCTCTGACAGCTGTCTGCATGTGATGTATTATCTGTCTTGCCTGTACATAGCTTTGTGTCTGCAAAATAGAGTCAGACCTCTGTATCTGCGGGAGACCAGGTCCAGGACGCTGCCCCCTACTGGATACCGCGGATGCTCAGGTCCCTTATATAAAATGGCATACTATTTGCATATAACCTACGCACATCCTCCCATATACATATATTCCGTATCTAGACTAATCATAATATCCAATACAATGTAAATGCAACGTTAATAGTTATCACACTGTATTGCTTAGAGAATATTCACAAAAAAAAAGTCTGTACATGTCCAGTACACACGCAGCCATCGTACTACATATAGAAAATATAATTACTAATAGCGAAAATACAAATTCATTCTCCTATACCTACACATCACTTCATTCGCAAGAATTCAGCATAATGCTCGGCGTGGGGAAATTCAAGTTTGACTTTCTTTATTATTATTTTTGAACCGCGGTTGGTTGAATCCACGGATACGGAGTGCTGACTATACATGTAAATGTAGCTCCTTAACTAGCTTAGTCTTTCTCTGCTTAACAAACTGGAATCAAGGCTCTGTGGGCAGCAGCATCACCTCACACCGCCACGGTTGGGAGTTTGAATCCTGCTTACAGCTCTGAGTGTCCCCATGTTGCAGGAGTTTCCCTGGGTATACAGAATTACTCCCACAGTCCAAAAACATGTGGCGAGGAGAACTGGAGCCTCCAGTGAAGTACTTCTAGTCTCTGGTAACATCTTTGGTTGAATTGGTCACAGGGTGTGTGCATTCGTGTGCTCTGCTAAGGACAGGCTTCCCATCCAGGGAATCTCCTGACTTGGATAAACGGATGGAAGGAAGTTCATTCATTTGACTACAAAACTGCCACTGAATGCCTTACCTTGAAAATGCACAGTTCTCACATTTACTTTCTGGCGGTCTGGCACATTTAATAAAATAATGAACCTTTAAAATAACCTAGAACAGCATGACACTGTCACTACTCTCCACATTATGTGTGCTCTTGTGTAAAACAGGAAAATGACCCTGATGTGCCCAGCAGGAGGATTTAATGTGTCCCCTTCGCAAGAGTAATCTGCAGGTTTGCAAACAATTTCAGCCCATGAAGGTAATTATGCATTTGATCTCCAGCACAGCAGAGGTCTGCCATCTTCAACCCATTGTTCCTCTCGTAATTAGCCAACGGTCAGCTGAGGCACAGTCCCACAGCAATTAAACTGCTCGTCTAATAATAAGTTCTCACCCAACATTTCATTGGAGCTCAACATGAATGCGTCACTTTTAGAAAAAGTGAACTACTTTCTTTTTTTCATGCTTCAAAGATGGCCTGGACTTCTCTAATCCTTGGAGAGACTGAAGGAAAAGCAAACAGTTACAGCTTTAGTGCATTGCTCTCTCTCAGCACAGCAGCTGTAACGACAAACACTTGGGGATCTCGGATGAGGCATATCTCAGAGTAGTGTAACAATGCCCGTAACAGGGCTTCACAAATACACACAAACAGCTGTGACTTCCACCTTCTCTTTCCATGCCTCTCTATGCCTTCAGAGGAAAAATGAGGGGAAGAAGAGTGACTGACAAGCCACTTGGCAGCCCCTGCTTCACATCATTAATATCTCATCATTTGAGACTGTCAGGGTATAATTGAGCAGCTATTATTTTGTGCAAGACGATTCACGTCACAAGCTGAAGTCATTTGTAGCTTGGCGACTGGCAACAGTAATTATTGTATCCATGACTGAAAAATGGGCCCATTCCTTTCAGCTTTCTGACTTTCCTGTAGATCTTTTGTGTATCTAGAGATATTGCGAGAAAAACAATACCGGAATAAAATGTGTGCAATCTGCCACAAGCTTCCGCTCAGATGTGCAGAGTCAAGGACCCTGTGTGGAGATTTCTCTCAAAAACCTTGGGGGAGATGGTGTTACATGTCCCCCTGGAGTGTATCCAATGGGGTGAAGAAAATGAGCCTCATCTCTGTTGCCATCTCTCCACAGTCCCTTGGAGGTCAAAATGTTGTGTTGTCAGTCCTGTACTGAATGGCTTGGAAATGTACTCATGTATCTTCATTGGCTCGTCCATGGATGGGGCCTGAGGGAATTTCCCAGGTACACCTTGGCGAAAGGGCATCATGGGAATGGATGCAAACACTCTGAGAATGGGGAACATGAGGGAGAATGTCATATTTCTTCATCCCATGGAGGTTTAGATGGCCACAGTAGATCTCCGCACAATTGTAACATGTGAGAAAGGTCCATAAAGTGCCAATCCAGATTCTGGGAAGGTCCATGCCAGGCCATTTCTCCATCTAATGAGCAGATGGCCCTTCTATGATAGTGATTTAGGATGGTTGTGTTTATATTTAAATGGGTGAGGACATATGGCATTAGGAAGCCCATTTTCTCACTGCATCTCATCCTATTAAAGTTTGCTACAGTGACATCACTGATGCACCAATTAAGACAAACACACCTGTCGCCTCCATTATGGGCGGAGTCCTGCTCGTTTGAGAACACCCATGCATGAGACGGGATGTGCGTGCCACACAATTAGGATCAACAGCCTGTTATTTTTATTGCCAGGGAGCCTTCAATGGCACAAATATTTTTTATGGCAACCTGTGAGGTAGGAGAGAGTGAAAAAGACAGAATTTTATCAAGAAAAAAAAATCCTCAAACTGTCAGATTACCTTGCTTGAAGATCAGGTAGAACTAGGTCTACAGAGCATTTATTTTTGCAAGACTGAGGGAGGGCATGGATCTCTTTGGGCAAGGTGAAGTCAGGCGATAAGCTCCTCTCACCTGCAATGTACCACCCCTACTGTGAAACACCTGTGTTCACTCTCAGCAGGCCCCTGACCGTATATCTCCCATGCTAGTGATCTGACAGCTGCACACTGCCCTTCATGTTTTCCTTGCCTGCTCTCCCTTTGCTTTTGGTTTCCCCCAAAATACACTATATGGACAAAAGTATTGGGATACATCTCGCAGTCATTGAGTTCAGGTGTTTCATTCAGACCCATTGCCACAAGTGTATAAAATCAAGCACCTACCCATGCAGTCAGGGTTACAAACATCTCTGAAAGAATGAGTCATTCTGAAAAGCTCAGTGAATTCAAGCGTGGTGCTGTCATAGGATGCCACCTTTGCAATAAGTCAGTGCATGAAATGTCTTCCCTGCTAGATATTCCTTGGTCAACTGTAAGCTCTAATATTTCAAAGTATAAACGTTAAGGAACAACAGAAACTAAGCCATGAAGTGGCAGACCACGTAAAGTAACTGAGTGGGGTCGCCGAGTGCTGAGGCACATAGTGTGTAAAAGTCGCCAATGCTCTGATGACTCAGTAACTGCAGAGTTCCAAACTTCCTCAGGCATTAACCCCAGCAGAAACACCGTGTGCCAAGAGCTTCATGGAATGGGCTTCCATGGCCGAGCAGCTGCATGCAAGCCTCACATCATCAAGTGCAATACCAAGCATCAGACTGAGTGGTTTAAAGTACGCCGCCACTGGACTCTGGAACACTGGAAACTTGTTCTGGGACGAGACAAATCTTGCTTCTCTGTCTGGCAGTCTGATGTACCAGTCTGGCTTTGGCAGATGCCAGGAGAATGTTACCTTCCTGGCTGCATTGTACCAACTGTAAAGTTTGGTAGAGGGGGTATAATGGTATGGGGTTGTTTTTCAGAGGTTGGGCTAGGTCCCTTAGTTTCCAGTGAGGGGGAAGACATTTTGGACAATTCTATGCTTCTAACTTTGTGGGTACAGTTTGGGGAAGGCCCTTTTCTGTTCCAGCATGACTGTGCCCCAGTGCATAAAGCAAGGTCCATAAATACATGGTTGGATGAATTTGGTGTGGAAGAACTTGACTGGCCTGCACAGAACCCTGACCCCAACTCCACCTTTGGGATGAACTAGAATGGAGATTGCAAGCCAGGGCTTTACGTTCAGCATCAGTGCATGACCTCACCGATGCTCTTCTGGATAAATGGGCCAAAATTCCCACAGACACACTGCAAAATCTTGTGAAAAGCACAGCAGATCAGTGCAAGGGTGGTGTAACAAAAATTAATTGGCTTCCCACACTGCCACAGCAACAGCAAGTAGCCGAACAGAGCTGTGCTGATTGGCAGAAACCCCTCACCCTAACCCATTGCTGGTAAACATACACATATCCATACACAGATACGCAGAAAAACAGAGGTGCAATACACACAGA